ATGTACAGTCACAGCCATGCGGAAGTTTCTTGATAATCATCACGCGGAAAATGCGCGGGATTCGACTCCGTGGGTATGTCCTGATTGTCAGGGATAATGTCCTGGAATCTGTAGAAGAGGAGAACGGTGAGAGAGACCGTCTTAGGAGGCGCGTTCAGAGATTGATCTTGATGGAGAAAATTCAGACTTCCGCCTGCAGTTCACGAACGTGAACCCGGACGGTTTTCCATTGTGCTCTGTGCCCCATTCTCAGTCAATCTGGGCTTACATACAGCGCCATTGCAGCGAGCGCGACTTATGTACCGCAAATGCGAGGTACGACGGGAGTATGTTGAATTCTGCGTGATCCTGAGTGTCCGACAGTTGTCCCGATGGATCTCGTCAATATCGAGACCCGCCGGCTCGAGATCGACGCCAGCGCCACAATCGATCCCCAACTTCCATAGAGCTGTGGGCGCCGCACCAGCGGCTCCTACTCCTCTCCTACGAAAACGAGCGGCGGACCTTGGTCTTGAGCGTCCTCGGCGACATCTGGGTAACGTCTTATAAGATCACCCAAGTCACCGCTATCCCTGGCGCAGGCGGTCTGTGTTTATCGGGGCTGCCGTGCGGGACGTCCCGGTGGACTTCACGCACCGCGGCTATTTTGTGATCGCTTCGAACGGCTCGGCGACATCCCCAAGTGGTTTTGATGGCGCGGAAGGTCGAAATCACGCCAGACAACGATCTCCATAAGTCTGTGCAGCTCAACGCCCTCGGGAATTCCCTGCTGCTCGAACGCCTTGCGGATATCGAAGATGTAAAAACTTCGGTGTCGGCGTTCAGACAGCTGACTCAGGATACCAATCGCAAATAAACCTGTGCGGCTCAGCGGTCACGGGAAAGCACTGCTACGTCGATCCGAGGGGCCCGGAGAGCTGATGGACGTCCACGACTCTGTATATACAGCACCTGATGGACTGCGTGGCCGCAGTTCGTGAAATAAATTAAGGTGTGCCGCGGTGAGAAATTCGGGTGCCTTTGAGGAATTTTATAAACTGTAGACCGCAGCTCTTGCTTAAACCCGAGCCACGGGGCGTGCCACTGCGCGTCTATATTACTAATCAGTGGGTAATTACACAGGTTGCAGTCGTGGTTAAATCCGAATTCAACTGCGGAAGGAGCGGAAATTACGGGGCACAGTGCGAACATTGCCATCACATGGGGATATTTGTGTGTTTGAAACGTAACTGGCGTGTAGTGATTTGACGTTGAGGCTGAAGGACGAGGAGACAGAGAAGGGAAAGGGGATACGCTGGATCGGGATTGAACCACAGAAATGGCAAAAGGCCGAGGATTTCGTTTATGCAAGGCGAGGGATTTTGCCTTCTAGACTGGGACAGGCATACTGTAATGATGTACGATCTAGACCGGATAATAATATACTCCTGAACGAGATTCGAGAACTAGACTCGTCTGAGAGGTTCTTATTACCAAAGGCCATCTCATATCCTCTGCTCTAAATCCACTCCTTCTCTCCCACAAGTCTCAGCGTAGGAACAGCCTGGATCTCACAAGACCATGACGGCAGGCCGTTCTCTAACCGATCCCCCCGAACCGTCAATTTCCGGGACAGGATTCGGGAACTCCAGTGGGTGCCAGCGCTGGGTGGCAGTTCGAACACAATGAGGTCAATCTACTGACATATGCCTCCAATATACGGGATTGTGGGACTGCGGAGTCTTTACTAAAATCGCTCGCCACAGCACCATTAACCGTATTGGGGGTCTTAGTAACCCGTACTGTCGCTCGGCTGTTGCATGATTCGCAGTGCATACGTATTGAATATGTATGGTGATACCTATCCGACATGGAGCTCCACACTATTTCCCTATGCCCCCACTCGTAAATCCGCTGCTAAATTTGTAGCCATCACCATGGATATGGATGCTTATGCCACGCGCCTCCTGGGCCGTATAAGTATTCACGAATGCGTCCCTCAGCTTTCAACATCGATCCCTCATTTCCACTACTCTCCACATTTCTTATTCAGCCATGTCCGTCCGAACAGACCGTGTCCGCGCAATCGGAATCTTCAAAGCCCGAGCGGGCATTACACCCGCTGAGCTGCAGGAAAGCACCTCCAAAATGGTTCAGACCGTGAAAGCGCTGCCCATCATGCAGCAGAACCTCCTCAAATACGAAGTGGTGCGGTCCATTATTTGTCCCAGCTTCATATTTTCATTGGCTCACCGGCATGCAGTCATTCAAAACTGAGACTGGGGCCGGCACCTTAGCCAGCGCCCTCGGCCTTCACGAGACAGAACTCTCCGTGATGGTTCTGGCTGAAGCGGAGTCCCATGAGAAACTGCGCAAGGTACCTCAGAATTTCCTCATCTTCAGATACAATACAACACTGAGCTGGCATGTTTCAGACACTCACCGATGCGGGTTACCGCAAGCTCCTCGCTGATGCCCTCGAGCATCTCACGAGCGCCGACGACTTTCACTTCTTCCCCGCCGAGTTCATCACCATCATCGAGAACTGAAGCTATCCTCTGACATGAAATTCGGTCCGTTCACGATCATAATGTAACTTTACTTCTATCATCGGCCCCGTGTGACATACATAGTTGTGTACCCAACATATGTGATGCAATACGATTCTTCTGTTGACGTCTACCAATATCTCCGCGGTGATTTATGCTATATTGCGTTTTTGAATGATTGGCCACGGCTACAAGAGGAAATATCAGCAAAGCTTCCGCGTGCCGAGAACGACTCGGATCGCGTCCGAAGCTAACGGCTCAAAGAGGGTAGATAATTGAATGTTCACCTGGCCGAACACAGGATGCCACTTCCACAATCATCCGGTCAGCCTGGTAGCGAGACGCGAGGGGCATCACCGGATGTGAATACTTGTGACTTACGACTAACAGTGGTTCAGAATCTACATGGTAGATTCTTACGTGATTTTGACTGAACTTTCGACCGCGTTAACCCTGGAGTGATTTATCGCAAGCTATATTGCAGTGCGTGCTTCATCCCAGCCTGGGTCAGATCTAAAGATTGCGAGTGAGATCAAAGGTCGAGTGCCTCAGGCACTTGTGTTGTAGCATTCCTCCGGGTAATGACGCATTGGAAGTCCTAAAAACCTATGCCGATCTTTTCCGCCTTCTGATGAGTTCGACGCCGCTCGCTCGACTACTGGTATCTGTGGTTCCGTGAGTAAAAACCTGCACAACGGCTATGCACCGGACAGTAGATATAAACCGCACGTCTTGATTTAAACATCGTCTTCGTTCGATAACCATAACGCATGCCCTGAAGGGGATCACACAATCAGGATCGTGACACATAGACTATTCTGTGCCCATTCACGGTCGACTTCGCTAGACATCCTCTTGGCGATGAACGCATCCGCGTGCGCCCAGTAGTCGACTCCGTGGAGAGTGCCCCTTTGCCAGTCTTGGCAATACGTATCAAGCGACATCCCCACGGAACGCGGATCTACGGCCAGGACTTCGAATTTTCCAGTCGAGGATCGCGGGCTGGACCCCAAAACGAATAGCGCGCGCAGAGATTTACATTCTTCGAGGAGGTACGGACAGATTGGCAGGACCCTGAACGTGTCGACCGAGAGATGTGTGCGGGGGGTCGTCGTCGTCGTTTTCCAATCCATCGAACAGCTCCAGGTGCGTGAGATGAGTGAAACAGGGATGGGGAGTGACTGGAATCCCAGATTTCCAAAATCGGAATATGGATGACGCAGCGCCATGGAGCGGACTGAGGTGCATGGGTTGGTGAGACAGACAGTGGACGTTTCTACACTCGCATCACATTTTTAGATTCAGCGTACTAATTTAGCGTGGGATCACAACATCAACATGGCGACATCCAGTGTTACCGTCGAACTCAGCCACATTCAATTAGCTGAACTGTGATCAAACGAAGGAAGCCAAATATTTCTACCAAGTTCACCTGCAATGACCGGATCCAGAGATCGAACATGGATCTCGCTGAGTAGGCTGTTCACCTAGTGTTCTGTATGGCGAATGCGCACCACACGCTATCCGGTCTCGAAGCGTGGGAACGTCACATACTTGCGAGGCCGCGAACTGAGTCGGGAGAGTGGGTCCACCCATTCAAGTTGCAGCAGAAACCCTGGCGCGGCTCCCCTCTCAGTATCGGGGGGTAGTTCTAATTTCCGAGCAATCCCGGGATTCGTATGCAAGTGGTGGGACATACTCTGCGCCACTCATCGGAATTGGGGCAGCGCTGCCCCGAGATTTGATATAATGCAGGTGCGGGCGACTCCGCAATTCAACCGTTCTATCGCTCGGTGGAGTTTAGATCAGTGTGGGAGTGAATGGGGGCTTGGCGGCAACCCAGAAAGGGGATCTCGGGGAAGTTGGATCTGGAGACACCGCCAGATTTCCATTGGTTCGGGCAAAGCAGTGGGCTATTTCATGCAGGCGTGGAATATTGATGACAGCAGCCCACGTAGGAGTTTGTAGAGGGTAAAAAGTAAAGCCCTGTATTACGAACCAAACTCGAGTGACCTATCAAAGTCAAGGCGAACGGGATGCCACTCACGCAAAAAACTGAACAGCGTCTCTGTGCCATTCAATAGGAATCCTGCGTATCCCAGTGCCACCCGTGCGAGCACATCGACCAAAACGAAGAAGCAAAACCGACTCTCCCCACTGATGCCCGGATCCCGAGTCGAACGGGGGCTCTGCTGAGGATATTGCGACCGAGTATTGATGACAGGCGCGCACCGCGCGCTGTCCGGACTGAGCGTTGAATGTGTATAGAATATCGTCGGATATGTCTGAGTCTTCCCGCTCCGGAGTTTGCAGGAAGTGCTGAATTATCCGGGTATCCGCAGGACTGAGGGACGAGTTGCAAGGTTGGGAAGACAGAATTCCACTCGTGTTTATTCGTTCGCGGAAGGAGGCGCGCGTATGCGGTAACGTGGAGTGAAAACTTCAACTTAAAGTAATCTCAAGAAACCCTGACGATCCAAGCCCGATTCGAACGAACGTCTCCTGCGGGACAGGAATACGCAATATTGAGATGCATATGCGGGCCGCTCCGCAATTGGACCTTCCCACCGCAGAGTGGAGCGTGAACAAGTCTGAGGATAAATAAGCGTTTGGGGTTGGAACTCGCATTTCGGAATCAAAAACGGAGGGATTTCAAATCCGGGAAATACCTGCAGGGTTAGGTTAGGCAAGGTCAGAATAATAAAAGGGCGAGAATGAGGTTCACTCACCCGCCCGGACGAATTCTCGAGGCGCGTACGAAAAGTGAAAGCGCTGCCAGCTTGCGGTCCAAGCCCGAGGCGAATGGGCATCCCTTGCGTGCCATGGAATTCACATTTATGAGATGCAGCGGAAGGCCGCTCCGCAATTGGACCTTCCACAGCTGGTGAGAGCTCAACTAGGCCCTAGAGCAACTGCGTATTCGGGAACTCACGTTTCGGATGAGCACGGTAAATCGAAGTGAAGACAGACCTCCACAAAATAGATGGGAACCTCAAAGCGCCTCGCCCGCGCGGAAATCCTCGAGCCGCGACGAAAATTTTCCAGAGGACCAACACCACGGTCCAAGCCCGAGTCAAACGGGCGTCTCCTGCATATACGACGACTCGGATTACTCACATGCAGCAGGCCGAGCGCGTGCGCGATTCGCGACTTCGTCCCGAGCGGGTAATTATCCTAAGTGTTTCCCCTTTTCGTTCACCCATCAGCGCAGGCGATCAACGGAGTTTCATTTACGGAAATAGATCCTCACCTTCGGTCCGTAATTTTTAAGCTGCAGCCATGATACTTCTCAGACTACTCCAGGTTCCACTCTACAGTAGCAAGGTTCAATTGCGGAGTGGCCCGCGCCTGCATCCGCTGGCGAAAGATCGGGCTTGCACCGTTCAACTGATCGGCGTTCCTTTTTGGCGCCTCGGTACCTCGTTAAGTGTGCGGGTCAGCTCCGCTCGTATTTAATTGGACTCGCAGGTTCGTATCCTCAGCTTTTTTAGAGATTCGCTGTCGGTTCGTCGTTCTGCCCTGCATACACCTCCCCCTTATTCACGCTCCATTTCGCAATAGGAAGGTCCAATTGCTGAGTGGACTATGCACCAGACGCCCGTTCGACTTGGGCTTGGACCCGGGTGGGCGGATACGAACTTCCTTTATGATACTCCGCACCACTGGATACCTTCGCCCCCTCTGCGACTGAATAACACGCCCCGCGATATTCATGCCTGTGCACGTTATAATCCACATCCCTCGAAACGCAGAAGCTGACTCAACAGCGCCTGCACCGCTCGTACCCCCCAGAATACTACTCATTCTCCTTATATTCAGCCCGGATAGCGCTTGGTACGTACCTGTCATCAGTACTTGTTTTCAGGGCGTATTTTCGGCAGGGCTACTGGGGCTTATTCAGAAGGAGACCCGGTCGACTCGGGATTCGCTCACTTCTCCACAACTTGGGTTTTTTTCCCCCCGTTCTTTGGTCCGTGCTATCTGTGTGCGCAGAAACGCAGGAGGTCCGGATTTGGCGCAAAGTATGACACACACTGGCTTGTAACATAACTTGCCATGGTCGCATAATTGGACATCACATAGGATTTACGGCTATTCACGTAGGACAGAGGGTTGACGTCCTGGTTGGTCTGAAGGTTCGCGAGTCTCGTATTGATTATGCTGTTTGCGTCCCAAGGAGCAATGAGGAGTGCCGAGGACGAACAGTACTAGTGTAACCTAACCGGCGAATAAGTTAGGAAGTGATGGTTTGCCATCCCACGTGTACGGAGGACGTGCAGGTAAAAACCGAACATTACAAGATGAGCCCCTGGGACGCCGATTTCGAGAGCGATATCGCAAAGGATGGGGGCGAAGTACCGTAGAAGAATACCTCGACCTTGTCCCGTCGTCAACGCAAGAGCAAGACTACAGGGAGTGGGAAAGCTTACCGCGGTGATGGCCCAATTGAGTTCAATCTGATTAATTAGGGAGGGAGTAATAACACCGGGGGAGGGAGCAGAGATGGGAGTATGATGGAGAGTCTGTCCGGATCTCTACACGACACAGCAATGAGCAGTGTTTTAGAACAGTCCAATCTTGTTCGCGTGTTGTTGGGTGGCCACTACAGCCTCGGCCGGACAATTATAGGTCAAAGCAACGTGCAAGGATGATCTCAGATCGGCGGAGAGGCACACAGCCGATGCTCGGGGGAAGATCTGCACCCTGAGTGATCGCGAGGGCTAGAAAATCAAGATCGGGAGAAGAATCAAAATGTGATGCCAGATATAATCACATAACGAGGGATGAACAGATCTGCGGAGCACCACAGATTCGTAGACCTAAGATCATCTGCAAGATGGCTAGCTCCCCATCCCGAGAAACTTGAGGGAGGAGACAGCCCGCAGGGTTCGGGTACATCAAGATATGCAAAGATCCGACGTCCCACGGAAATTTGTGCTGTTCTGTCGTGCTAACCCAGGTTAGCAGTGCCAGGTTGGTCTTGCGGGTGACGGCGATGAACTGCTGTTAGATTGCGGGTGTGCAGAAACCGGCAAGATGAGCTTGTTACAGCGTATATCCAGATGATCGTCGCTGGAGCAGGAAGATAGAGCAAGGCGGAGCAGCGCCTCCGGTGAAGTACGAGAACGCGAAATTTAAGGATCAGGAAAAGGCGCTCGTCGGATGAATACGAGGCGTTACGAGGGAACGATCAGGCGTACTGGTGCGCTCGGGTTTTGGTGGCGATCCTAATCCTTATCGCCAGCCTTTCGGATGCCCAACGGACGATTTCGATACGCACCAGGATCGGGGGAGGGAGTACAAAAATAGCCCGATAGAATGCTGCTGGAGGTGTCATTTTGTGCTGAGATCGGAGCTGGGGCTGTGAACAGTGAAGAAGACGAGCACCCGGAAGCCAAGGACGAGACAAATCAGTAGTGATGGGCCCGGGTCTCCGCTGGTTCAGGTAGGCGTAGGCGCGCGCAGAGCAGGTCGAAGCATTCTGTTCGCAGAGGCGTGCCGGCACCCCAATTGAGGGCTGCGGTCGAGGAGGACGACCATGCGCCGTGCAGCGGAGGATCACTGCACCAAGGACAGGATATACATCCGTGTCACGAAAGGAGGTGGATTGTCCCTGCTGCGATCAGGAACGGGCCTCACAATTGGTATCGTTTGAATGGGGAGATTCTGGACCGACCGCACTTTTTGATCATGTCAACCGGGACGGCGTGGGCGGGTGTAGCGGACGCTGCTGTCGTCGCGGTGCATTCGCCCGTGTGAAGCGACCGAGGTGGTGCAGGTACAGCCGTTATGCAGACCCAGAACGAGGAAAATTACGCGTGGCAAGCCACTGGCGTACCGCTTCCGGGAAAGGAAAGGACGGCGGGCACAACGACGGGCATGGTCGCAGGAAGGGGAACGGATGGTATACGGATGGAAGAGAGGCGACGATGGGTGTGGAGGCCGGAAGGACGGGAAGGACCACCACGACGGGGGCCACGAAAGGACCGCGATAGGAGATGGCTTCGTCGTGGTTGGAAGGTTGCACGAAGTGACTCTTGCTGGGCGCTCAGCCGAGCGGGATCTGAAGGACTGGAAGAGCCAGCAGCGGCGGAATCTGGGATCAGGCTCGCCAACGCATCAACGAACGAACCGCCCGCGCCCAGGGTACATCCGAGGCGCATGCCGAGGGCTTCGTCGACGTGTGATTCGAGCGTGCGCTCGTCGACGGAAACGATACGGGCTGCGAAGGTACTGCGCATCGCGGCGGCAGCGCGGGAGTCGCAGTGGTGGTGCAGGTGGTGGTGCAGCCATGCGCGCCACGTTAGACGAGATGTGGGGATGAGCGCTCGCCGCACTGCTCCAACTGCTGGTGTCGCGGCCAACCATTCCCCGCGGCTCTGTGAAGTTTGAACGGCAGAAGGAAACAAGATCGTCAGCATCGCGGGGACCGCGGCACCGACGCACCAAAACGCAGGCAGTACCGCGCCGCGCGGGTACGATGGGGCGCGCCGGATCAGCGTCCTGTATCGTGCGTCTGTGACACACTTGGTCATCGTTGGAAGCGCTGGAAGCGGATGGTGCCGGATGCGCGGGACCGTCACGGTAACCCGAATCACGTGGTGATGCCGAGTGTTTGCAACCACGTCACCTTCGCTGCTTGGTGCTCAGTTCACGACTGTGAATACCTGAAAGCTTGGTTTAGAACGGCTCACGAGGATGCGTAAGGATTTCCTGCGTTGATGGCTCTCCTCAAGCGCAACGCCGCCCATGATCTCGTGCAATCTAAGGTTGCATCTACCGACTCAAGAGCTTGGGATCTGCGCCCACAACCCCTTCTATCTATTCGTTTAAAAACCTTAGAGCACTGTCGGCGTTCTGACCTCGGTAATCTGTCCTCCGACTGGTTCGTGACTCTGCGAGTCGATGAAGGGTAGGGCTCTCTATTGGAGCGGGTGGCTCTACTAAAGCGCCTAAGACTGACCTTCCTCGATTTTTCCGCATCCTCTTTGCCCCGTATCTGGGCTACCTATGCCGCATTCATAATAATCCCAGTTCCTCGGCACCTCACGGTGGCTTGTTCATCGTGTCTCCTGTGAACGCTGCGCGTCGAAGTCGCCGCCATATTGACGGCGCCCTTCGCGGCAGTATTTGTCATTTCTTTAGCCGCACTTCTCACAGGGATCTCTATCTCACAGCCGCACAGGCGCCAAGATTGACGTGGAACCAAATGATCTTCCTGATGCATGCGGCGCTGGCGCTTGGCCGTTAGCAACCAGACTCGACAAGTTCCGAGCCGCTCGCACAGCTGCCAAACCCCTCGCTTGCTTTCCTTCCAGGTCTCTTCCCTCTCTCTCATGCCCCCACAGGCGTCCTCCCAGCCGCTAAACCCGCTACCCCACGAGCGGCCAGTGCTTCGGCGGGTGGGCCTTCTTCTCCACTTCGGCTTAGTTGCGATCCTCGCTGTATTACTGGTTGTCGCCGCCAATGGCCACATGGAGCACGTCGTCGAGACACCATTGAACGAGTTCGAGAGAGTATCCAACACCATATCTATCTCCCTCCTGGTCTTCATCACCGT